TGTTAATACAAATAGGCACATAGTAGAAACATTCATATTGACATATTGTTTAGCTCTTTGAGTCTTTGTAGTTCAACTCATTTATAGCAAATTCGCATATAAACGTAATTAAACCTAATTGTAAATCATGTTATTTTCTTACATAAAATATAAACATCATTAAATACATAGCTGGTATAAATGAAATGTGATGATATTTTGGTATTATAAAAAAAAAATACGAAATAGTGAAAGTGTGATGGTGACATACACTTATTAATTAGTTGTGTGGAATATGTGCATGTAATGTTGAAAAAATGCAGTGATTACGGAGTATTGCTTAACTCTTTTTATATTATATTGTGTGGATTATGGAGTACTGTATCGTTGGTTGATCTCTAGAAACTACCTAAATCACAAATATATATATATATATATTTATATTTATATCCTAAATCACCAAATCAGTACAAGTACGTTTAAAGTACTTGAGAATTATTCTCTTAAAAAAAAAGTACTTGAGAATGTCTCCGACAAAAAGTTTAATAAATGATTTTATGATCTTAACAGTTAAATCATTTTTTTTTAAGAAAAAGAAAAAAAGGACTTGAGTAGATAATGTTGTGTTAAATTCCTTTGTAATTTTCATACGTATATAATTATTATGTAATTAGCTCAATTATTTAAATTTAAATTGACCATCTTTTAGTGATTTGTATTTAAAAAGAAAGGAATTGAGAAGATAATTTAAACTATAACTTTGTCTCTATGTCTAATATTTTGATGGTTCGTAAAACTATAACTAACGGTGGTACTACCACTAACTCTATTGATGCCTTGGATTTTCTAATAAATAGCTGAGCTGGCAGCCTTTTAACCAAAAAAAAAAGAAGATAATTTAATCAAATGTCAAATTTTATATGTAATTAACTCAATTTAAATTTAAATAATTGAGCTAATTACATACTTCATAATACTTAGTACTTACTTTGTTTTATGTTATTGGCAACAATTTCACCTTTGCTTTTACCGACTATCTTTAGTGATTTGTTAGTCAAAATAATATGATCAAATGGAATACTCCCTCCATTTTTAAAAATCTGCTCTATTTCTACTTTTTGTACTATTTATTTGTCCTATTTTGACTAATATTTGTGATTTATACACAAGAAAAAATATTATTGATCAAAGATTAACATCAGTATACGTGACCAAGAGAAATGGAACAAGTATTTAAAAACGTAAAGAGTATGTTTTAATAAATTTAAATCAACTTTTTACAATTTTTAGATTATGACAATGAAATAATTTAATGGTTGAGTTGGTAAATGTAAAATTTAAACCATTGCAAGTAAAATGCATGAAACAACATACATATGTGATTATGTAGAAGTACGTAATGTAAAGTCGATATATATCGAGCATATAGAAAAGGATACAGAGTATTTGACAGTTTGAAACATACTTTAATCGTGTAATGTGTGACCATATGATAATAGCATCACTGATGTACCGAATCTCCCACATACGTATTCAGTGGCGGACTGGGCCTTGTGCCTGGTGGGTCAAATGACTCACCAGGGCCCAAAAAAAATTTTAAGTTTTTTTTTTAAAAAAAAAAAAATAAAAAAAAAAATCTAACTTCAGGTCCCGACACTTCCTCAAGCCCTAGCCCACTGCCTCCTCAGCTGCTCTTCCCTCTTCGCCTCTTGACTTCCTCTTCGCTTCATCTACACCAGACTGCCTCCACCCAGCCACCCTCTAGTCGCCTGCTCTGCCTCTGCTGCTTGCCTGCTTGATGCTTTCCTGCTCCGTCTCCGTGGTCACTGCTCTTCGCCTCATACAAACTTGTGTCTCCACATTACATAAATGAACCTACGTGGGATTCGAACCCACATCTTTTGTGCATTTGCACAATGCTCTACCCTTGAGCTAGTAGGCTAACGTATTTAAAACATTCAAACACACTCAAAAATGAGCATTAATTTGACAAAATGAACAAGAATCATTTGCTCATTTGAAAAATGAGCATTAAATAGTTTGCTCATTTGACAAAGGAGCATTGAATTTTTTTTGCTCATTTGACAAATGAACAAAAAAATTAATTGCTCATTTGACAAATGAGCAAAAAATTAATTGCTCATTTGACAAATGAGCAAAAAATTAATTGCTCATTTGTCAAATGAGCAAATAATTAGTTGCTCATTTGTCAAATGAGCAAATACTTAGTTGCTAATTTAAAAAATGAGCAAAAACTTAGTTGCTCATTGTCAAATAAGCAAACTATTTAAAAGGCATGACTTAGCACACTTTGTCATGATCTGTGCTTCTTGCAAAGAGAAAGGAACAAATCAAGGTCTATAAGGGGCTCATACTTTCACCTGCTTGTATAATCCAGCTAGGATTATGAAATTTCTGATAATGGAATAGGCAACTTAGATTAGTTTTCCAGTTAACGTATCACAAAGAGTGCTAAGGAAACCGATGTTTAAAACAATAAGCAACCAGGGGCAAGCCAAAAACAATGCGTACCATTTTCTAGACAAAATTTACTAGTATCATGTTTGATTATGTATTGCAGGACAAGGTGGAGAAATTTTACCTATCGTTAATAGCACCAGCAGTGGCGGACTGGGCCTTGTGCCTGGTGGGTCAAATGACTCACCAGGGCCCAAAAAAAATTTTAAGTTTTTTTTTTTAAAAAAAAAAAATAAAAAAAAAATCTAACTTCAGGTCCCGACACTTCCTCAAGCCCTAGCCCACTGCCTCCTCAGCTGCTCTTCCCTCTTCGCCTCTTGACTTCCTCTTCGCTTCATCTTCACCAGACTGCCTCCACCCAGCCACCCTCTAGTCGCCTGCTCTGCCTCTGCTGCTTGCCTGCTTGATGCTTTCCTGCTCCGTCTCCGTGGTCACTGCTCTTCGCCTCTTCGCAATCGCTTCGACGCAATTGCTAATTCACTAGTAAGTTGATTTCTAATTTTTATTTTTAATTTCTTATCTTCAATTTAATTCAGTCTAATTAGTTAATTTTATTAAACTTTGGTTTAAACTTTGGTTGATTTGTAGTTAACGCTTCCTCTTCGCTCATCGGCTCACGCCTCGTCGCCTCCAGTGCTGGCCCTGCTGCTGGCCCTGCTGCTCCGCCTACTCGCCTCAATCAACGTCTGCCGTCTGGCAAGGTAATCATCAATTTATTCTTTTTTTTTTGTGAATTTCTGATCAAATTTGCATTACTTGTTGCTTAAAAATTAGTATATACGATGAATGTTCATTGAATTTGCATTATTTGTGTTTTGACTGTTAAATTGAACTTATTAGTTTATGTGATGCCGGACATTGTATAAGACAGCTATTAGTGTAAGGAGGATTATAAATTTATAATTAGATTACAGTGTGGACTGGTTAGTGGTGCTAGTCGCATATTCGGCTGGAAGTTCCGTATAGACTAGGCGGATTCAGGAATTGTAAAACATTGTGTCTGAATTGTGGTTACATAAACCTTAAATCATTCTTAAGTTTTTTCTTGTGATTGTTGCTGTAAATTGTTTAAACTGTTATTACACGGAGAACAGTAGTTAGGGTGTTTATTAGCTTGTTAGTTATTAGTTTGTTAATTTTAGTCTTGTAATTTCAGAATGAAGAGAAAACGCATTCCAAATGAAATGCAAAACATTACTAGCTTTTTTGCTAAAAAGAATCCTACTCCAACTTCTCTTCCACATCCAACACAAAATGAACAAACTATATCTCAACCTCAAGAAAGTGAACAACATTCATCTCCATCTCATTATTCAACTTAAAATTCCCCTCAAAATGAACAAGGCCAATGTTCTCCTAATGCCCCAATCTTTGGTGAAAGATTAAGTGAACATGAATTTGCTAATCTTCCACAAGATCCAGGAAAGAGGAGAAAGATGAGTGAATTTCATAAAGATGATAGAGATTTAGTGAGAAGAATTTACATTCAAAGAAAGCCTTGTCAGCCCAAAGACTTTGTATTTCCTCAAACTTCTATTTTTGGCAAAAACCGTCGCTTTTGTGCTAAGTGGTTTGGTACTTGGACTTGGCTTGAGTATAGTGTGGAAAAGGATGCTGCCTATTGGTTGTATTTTGTATTGTTTGAATATTTGGATGTATTTTTTAGTACTATTATTTGGTTGTTTGGTAAAAAAAAATTTTACATATTTGATTATCGATTGTGACTCACCAGTCGGAAATTCCTGGGTCCGCCACTGTACGTATTAAACTGACACCTATGGTGTTCATGGGAAGTACACACGTGATGATTTAGAATTTTCATGTATAACCAATTCGAGTTGTCAATTAATGAACTATTTGGTGGAAAAAGTTCCACACTTCCACTTTACTCGTTTCCACGGAAAAATTGCCAAACTAAGCGTTTTTGGGAAACAATTTCCCAAACAAGACGCGTGGCAAAACTATTTACCAAACTAAGCTTCCAGAGTAAAACGCCAACTAGGATGGCGTTTTACCCTGGGCATTTATTTTTTTTTTAATTTTTAGTCAAGGATAAAACGCCATCAAGGGTGGCGTTTTACTGCTGGGCAAATTTTTTTAAAAAAACACATTTACACAAAAACGCTAACGCCGTTGGCGTTTTACCCTGAGTGATTTTTTTGAAAATAATTTACCCCCCTAAAGCGCCACCATGGTTGGCGTTTTATCTCTGCACACAAACACAGCTACACAGCAACAGCAGCAACAACCACAGGAGCTGCAACAACAACAGCAACAACCACAGGCTGCAACAACAACAGCAGCAACAACCACAACAACTACAACAACAGCAACAACGACAACCCCAACAAGAGCAACAACGACAACCCCAACAAGAGCATCAACAACAATCACAACAACTACTACAACCTTAACAACAGGAACCACAACAATAACTGCAACAACATCAGCAACATTAACAACACCAGCAACAACAACAACACCAGCAACCAATACAATGAAAAGAATGAATGCGTATGGTGAAGTTGATAATGTACAGAAAATGAACTAAAAAGGTTAGTAAAATTGATAATATTTATTTGGATACAATGTACTATAGAATCTGATTACAACTAACAAAAGAAGTTCTAAGATCCCGATTCATCTATTGTATGTAAGTGTTGTCTATCCAATCGCGGTCTTCTACGACGGTAGTACTGAGATACCGTTGTGAAAGGATCTGGGGCAGAGGTCTGGGGAGGAGTCTGTTGGCTGGAAGATGGTCCTTCCTGAGATGAGTATGGCGCAGACATGTGGATGGCGATATCTTCCTGATCATCAAAAAACAGGGGGGACCCTGTAGGGGACGTGTGAGTCTGTCCCCTACTACTGCTGCCTACCTCACGGTGTGAACGGCGGTGTGATTGGTCCCGGCCCTGGGGGATAAGATGGCCATGACCATGTCTCTGTAAGCTACTCACAGTCATTGCGTGAATGTCATCCAACTGCGGTATGGTGGGATATGATATGCTCAAGACTTCTAGTGCATCATGTATAGCAAGCATATCAGACGCCTGCATTAGTCAACAATCAGCCATTTTAATAATTAAAGAAACTATAAATTGGAGGAAAAGAAAAAATGACAAAAAACTCACATATCCACTGATGTCTCCAAAAGCTGGGTGGTAATGCGTTGAGGGTGGGGTGTAGTTAGGGTTGATGAAGCGTCGGGTAATGCTCCTGTACCATACCATGTATGGATCGTGATACTCCATCAGGCCTTGGACAGGCGCACCATTCGCGACGTGCTGCAGCCGCTGGTCCCACATGTCAATGTAAGGGGCATGCTGAACTGCCCAGTTAACCTCCCCCTTTCCTCGTCGGTCTGTCCTGTGCAACTGGACACTCGTGTCACACGGGGCGGGGATGGCTTGACAAAGGCCGAACTGTCGCATGACTCTGTCGGGGAGGTGAGCCTCCACCAACTCAAAACAGATGAGCACTGTCATGGCACGCCACTTCATCTGGTGATCAAGAAGATATTGGGGCATGGCATCGACTAAGTGAGGGACGTACGGATCCCACGTCATCTGCATTAACAAGCAGTCGTTAACGTCATACAAGGTTTCAATGCTAGCGGTTCCATTTTTCCTCCTCTATACTCGACATTGGGTCCGACACACAAAATTTCACCCCCCCAACGGCATAACAAAACAATCAATTGTGAAGCCATGTTCTACATAACATCAGACCACATATTAGGTGACACATATGCACAACTAAAACCACAATGATTCCAATAAATCCCCAAGCAAAGCGTACATACAACGCAGTGTTCAACAACATACTAACTTACCTACTTAATCTAACAATGTAAGATACATTTAAATGTACTTAACTCAACAATGTAGTTCGTAATTCCCTAAATGCTTCATATATGTAGTTCAACAACTAAATGCTTCATATATATTATACGAAATTATACAACATACATATAACTATACTTAATTTCAATAATTAAACAACAATGTATTATGTAGTTATACATATTTCGCATACTTGAACAACACTATAGTACATACATTGTAAATTACAAACATAAATTCCCAAAAAACATCATACACAAGTAAAATAGTTAAATTCAAGACATACCTCAATTTCGATGAAAGTAGGGCGTAACAGTGTTGAACAAAGAAGGAGGATTAATTTTTATTGACTATGATGCAAAACTAAGCTACGGAATGTGATGAAATTGCTTCAAATATGGAGAATTGGAAGTTGGTATGCGCGGGGTTAGGGTTTGCAATTTGGGGGTTTGGTTGAATAATGAAGAACAGCGATATATGCTGTTAGAAATACCCGACTCTAAAACGCCAACGACGTTAGCGCTTTTGTGTTAAAAGTAAAACGCCAACGGTGTTAGCGTTTTTGTGTAAATGTTTTTTTTTAAAAAATTTGCCCAGCAGTAAAACGCCACCCTTGATGGCGTTTTACCTTTGACTAAAAATTAAAAAAAAAAATTGCCCAGGGTAAAACGCCAACCAGGTTGGCGTTTTACCCTGAAAGCTTAGTTTGGTAAATAGTTTTGCCACGCGTCTTGTTTGGGAAATTGTTTTCCAAAAAACGCTCAGTTTGACAATTTTTCCCGTTTCCATAATCTTCACAAACAGCTTATCTATACACAATATGTCCACATATTTAGGGGTTGAGTACGACAAATGTGGGACCAATTAATCCATGGATTGATTTTGTTTTTTGTTTCTTACTTTCTTTATTTAGGACATTGGTCCCAAACCTAAAGAAAAATCCAAGTAAATGAAGACAAATATTAAAAAGGGTCTAATATTTGTATTTTCTAACAAACAGAGACTAAAAACATAACAATTACTGATAATTTTAGGGTTAGAATTAAATATTTATAGTTGTAGAGCACTATAAGTTTTATTCATGAATACGACTGTTTGATAAAATTCAAATTAGTCAATGTTAGTGTTTACATTTTATTTTTTAATTAATTGTATAACATGAAAGCTTAATACTAAAAAATACAACAATATTTAATGAAATCATGAATAAAATGACACATGTATAATGAACATAAACCCATAGCCAACCTAAATATGTTGGTTCTAAAATTATCAGCATCTTAATATCTTATAATTAAAATTCACTAGGTCTATTGGATGGGCTCAAAAAAATGTCCAAACTTTTCATTTTTAAAAATTTATTTTTTCACTTCCTTTTTTTTTTTTTTTTGGAGATGGGTTTTATTCGCATATTTGCATGTTTATAATGCCTAAGTTATTGATCTAATAAAATAAAAAATGCCTAAGTTGTGCTGGAGAGCAAAGAACAGATTCAAGAAGATTGTCTATCAGAGTTTGTGCACAGCTCTGGTGTACTGCATATGGCAGCAGAGAAATGAAGCAATTTGGAAGGATAGAATCTTTAGGCCAGGGTTTGTAGTTAATAGACTTTGTCTTGATGTATATAACAGGGTTAGTAGCATAGTTACTTGTAAAGTTAGAGCTAGTGAGTTAGCTTGGGTCAAGCAAATGTGCCTAGGGGCTTAGTAGCCTCCGTGTATTTTTTTGATTTGTGATTAATAAAATTTGCCTTTTCTCAAAAAAAAAAAAAAAAAGCCTAAGTTAATTAAAAATATGATCATGACCGTTATTTAAAGGATAAAAAATTAAAATTCAATATATAAAGAATTCTATTTTCTATAGAAAAAATTGGTTTTATTAATCTCAACTTTGCGCCATTACTTTAAAAAATCCTACGTATCGATTATTATAGTATAATTTCAACTTTAGGAGTAGTTTTCTTCTATCAAATCATAAAACCGGTGACAACCTGCTGAAATGGTTAATTTTTTTATTTTATTTTTTTAAAATTGCCACTTGTTGAATGCTAATTGGTCAAAAAAATAAATAAAAAAATAAACAACAAAAAATTTTAACAAAAAAAGAAAATAAATAAACCCACCCACCACCACAGCCCCTCTCCACTCCCTCCCTAGCCCACTGAAAACCACCACCCTTGCCCCAAAACTACCTGCAACCCCACCCTCCCTAGCTGACCGTTCGAACCCCAACCAGCCCCACCGTAATTCCAGTCCCCACCTAACCAACTCGAAAACCCCACCCAACCACCTTGACCACACCAGCAAGGCAGCACCCCGAATTCCCCACTCAGCCACCCTGGAAACCCCTCTGCTGCACCCCGACAACCCCCCAGCCACCCCGATTTCCTCACCTAGCCACCCCGAAAACCCCACCATCCAACCGGAATTCCCCATCCACTCAGCCACCCCGAATTGTGCCTTGCGATATGGTTTGAATCGACGGTTTCATTATTGGGGTGGTAGGGTGGGGAGAGGGGCGGCAGCCAGCAAGGGTTAAGGAGGTGGGCTGGGGGAAGGGGAAGGGGAAATGGTTGGGCTTGGTAGCAGCCGGCGGTAAGGCTGTGGTGGGGGTGGTTTAACTTTAACTTTTTTATTTTATTTTATTTTTTATTTTTTGGACCACTTACATGTTGGCACGCATGCAGATAACATGTTATTGACTATTATTGGCCGGTCATGACCTGATAGAAGAAAACAACCCCTAAAATTGGGATTGTTCCAGAATAATCGATAATTGAGATTATTTAAAGTAAATGACTCAAAATTGGGATTAATAATACCAATTTTTTTTTCTCTATATGTATTACAATTGTAAGCCATTGTTCATAAAGATGTGGAGATGCCTACAGCTTTTAAGAAGGAAATGCTATATACCATGTATGTAAAAGGTTCACATGTCGAATTTAGGTCAGGCTAGAGTCTAAATTTATTGGACCCGATCATAGACATCTCGACCTAAATCTGCCCCTTAAAAAAATTTGGACTTGTAACCTTATAACTATGGTGAACTATAATAGGTTGTGTGAATAGTGTAAAAGTCCAAATGGTGCAATTTAAAAAAAAAAAAAAAAAAAAAAAAAAAAAAACGGAGGTCGTATATATAGAGCATTAGAAGAGATAAGTCAGATAACAATCAAAGACTGACCTCAACGTAAATGGTCTTCAAAATTCTTCCGCCAACGACAGTGATATTAGCTGTGATAACCTTGAGCTTTAAACATTCAAACAGTTCACACAACTTCACCATTATCCCATTTCTATTACTGCAGCTCAAGCTCACTATAATAGTTCTCCCTCCAGCGTATGACACCCCTACCTATGCAAAAATAAATACATAAATTCATTAATCTTAGTTATACCGTACTGTATATTATTATATGGAGTATATATCATCTCAGTTTCATCTACTTGTCTTATTGTCAACACAAATTCTTAATTAAGGCGGATTTTCATTGATTTATTATAAGACGGATTTAAGTTACCCTAAAATTTTACCCTTTTATATTACAAAAGTTATCATTTTTATAACAAAAATTTTACCCTTACAAAATATTTATAATGTATTATATTAATCATATTAGCGCTCAAAACATGTATTTATTAGAAATTACACGTTAAAATTCGGGAAATTTTTTTGTGTGGTTGGCCACACCGTGTGGCCGGGGTTACTCGAGTTACTCGGTCAGGGGTTACTCGAGTTACTCCTGACCGAGTAACCTCTTAGGTAACCCCTAACCAAATCCCTCAAGTAACCCCTGACCGAGTAATCCCTCGAGTAACCCCTGACTGAGTAATCCCTCAAGTAATCCATGATCGAGTAACCCCTGACCGAACCCCTATCCGAACCCCTCAAGTAATACTTGACCGAATAACTCGAGTAAACTCTAACTAAATAACTGAAGTAACCCCGACCAAATAATGTGGCCAGCCACATATAAAAATTTGTGTTAAAATACAATCAAACTTATAAAAATTAAAAGTTACCCTTAATAGGGTTTAAATTACCATTAAAATTATAAAAGTTACCCTTAAATTAACCATCATTCAATAAAATTAATATAAGTCTGCCTTACACGAAGTAATTTCAATTATGCAATCTCACATTTGTCTTTAGGAAAAACAAATTTTAGGTACTTTAGCCCTTGAATTGGATCCGGACCATACTAACCTGTCTTTTATGATCGGTTTAATTTTAATTCTATCAAATTGGGCTCCAAACTCACCCACCTATTTTCTTCTCTAAACTCTTCTATTTAAATGAAATTCTATGTAATTGGGTCATGTAATATAGAACAAACGGAATCACAAATATCTTTTTTCTTGAACAAGCTACACTCCAATAAAATCTCTGATTATGATCATATAGTGGAGTACGCGATAGTTGGACCACAATCACATAAACGACTCCGACCGTTGACAACTCTATCTCCAGATCTAGATATCTAACTAAGCTAGTTTCACTTTGGGAAAAAAAAAATGACTCAATTTTTATCTTGAAAGCTATCTTATATGATATGTGTATGAAATTTCATAACTTGACATTACTTTCAATTTAATTAACACTTACTGTCCTAAACCTCCGCTAATTGTTAGGTAATTGATTTTTTTTCTTCGACTTTTATCATTTACTTCGTATTAGTTTCAATAAAAATAAGTTTAGTTCCGCAATAAATGTTCATGCAAACCTTTTATAATCGAACAAAATCGACGAGAGATAGATTGAGAATAAGCACTTACTTTTAAGTCCTCTACGAGAAATGATCTGCATCCACTATTATTGGAATCATAGCATCGTTTGTCATGATCATTATTACTCTTGTTGGTTAGCAAAGTAGACAATTCTTGTTCAAGCACAATTGTAGAACACCAAGATGAGCTTTCATTGTTGTTGTTCTGTTTTCTGAGCTCTAGTTTTGCTATATCTTCTTTGATTCGTCTCTCCTCCTCTTGTAATTCCTTTATATAGTCAATTGCATCCTTGATTGTTGATGCTTTGTCCATCTAGATATGCATTTGCAAATCGCCATGTAAATTATAACACGTATTTGCAAATAATTTAAGTTTGTGACAAGTTTGACAACTAATTTGAAACGAGGGAGTTACAAAAGTAAAATTGGGGCAATTAACATCCATATTATTCAATAAGTAATTGAAATACAACCTCAAAAATGTCACCAAGTATATAATTATTTATGCTAAAACTTGGAAAGTGTTTAAATTTTTTTTTTAAAATTATAATAAAAATGAGTATAAAATACTTTATCAATATACTCTCAATCTTTAATTTACATGTACTCTTTCAAAACTCACGGGTAAAAGCATGAATTTAGGGACGAAAGGGATAATACTAAATTTTCATTTTTGCCAATTTCTAAGGGATGGGAAAACTTTGATACACTTTCAAAAGGTTGGCAATCAATTACTAAAAATGAAGAGTGGAGATTTTTTTTTTTTTTTTTTATATATCTTGATAACATCTAACCAAGAATTAATTATTTAATAATAGGTACTCAGATTCGTTTGAGCTACAGCTAAATAACAAATTAAAGGAGTCCCAAGCTAAGAAGATTATTGTACCTTGCTAATGTTAGGAACAATTGCTCGGAGACCATGAATACGGTCCTTTAATTGCTTCCGGCGATTTCTTTCAGACACGACATTTTTAGATTCAGCCATATACGTCTTTGAGTAAGCACAACCATCAGGGGAGCTCGAGCTCAAGTTGTTGTTGTCGTCATTATAGCATAATGTTATAGGCCCTAGAACATTTCCAAACTCCCAACTACACTCGATAATATAGCTTAATTTAATATCAATCATATACTATGACATTTGAAAGGAATTCAAATGCTCAAACACAAGCTGCGAATCTTTTTTTACGTTAAAATTCCTAGATATGCCACTAATAAAATTATTGAACACGTTACGAATAATTATATGTACGTACCTTTGAAGTTCTTGAGTATGGATGTACTTGTTGGTCTCCCAATAAAAATCGTATTCTTCAACAAAATTATCCATTTGAACCGTAGTTTTTTAGTGAGACTTGTTGTAGTATTATAATGGTTCACTCACTTTATTAGCACTCGTGGCCGAGACTGGTTTCTTTTATATGGAGCGGATATGTTGCTTTCATAATTAAGACAACACGTCCAACATTTATTGCTTTCGTACCCCACCTTTTTCTTTTACAACGTGATCTATTTGCTTTTTATATTACTTATGTAAACTTAATTAAACAACATTATCTATGCTAATTTATCTTATACTTCCTCCATTCATTTTTACTTGACGTGTTTCTTTTATTACCCTTGTCAATGCATAATTTTAACGATCAATAACTTTAAATTTACATAAGTGAAAATTATAAAAGTTATATATTATGATAGTACTTATTAAGATGGATTTAAAAACATCCCACATGAATATATTTTTCCTTACATATAATTCACAAAAGACAGTCAAAGGAGGGGTGGTGAATAGTGTAAAAGTCAAAGCGGGTCAAGTAAAAAAGAATGGAGGAAGTAATACTTAGGCCCTGTTCTTTAGAGTTGCTCTATTCTGCTGAAATTTGTTCTGCTCTGCTGAAATCTTCTCTGCTCTGCTGAAATTTGCTCTGTTTTGCTTTGCTTAAAACTAATAATTAATAATAATAATTAAAATTAAATAAAAAATGATTAAAATTTATTAATAATAACTAATATTTATAGATGATAATTAATATTTAATAATAATAATTAATATTTTATAATAATAATAATAACTAATATATAATATTAATTGATAATAATAACTAATATTTCATGGTAATAATTAATATTTTATATTATTTAACACATTTTCTAATGTTATAAAAAGAGTCAAATAATAATAATAATAATAATAAGAATAAGAATAATATTTTCACTAGGATAAGATTTGCTATAGCTAGAGGAGTGGGGGCTTAGATTGTATCTCGGTTTCCCACTAATTTATTGTATGTTGTGTGACTATGACTTTTTCTATTTTTGAGATATAATAATAATAATAATAATAATAATAATAATAATAATAATAATAATAATAATAATAATAATAATAATAATAATAATAAGGTTAATTTGACTTTTGCTACCATCAAAAGACATGCATTTGATTTTTTCTACCCCTTAATTTTTTTTTTTATTTTACTACCACCTAAAATCACATTTGTTAAAATTTGCTACCAGTTGACGGAAGCTTTTAATTTTGCCGTTTGTGGGCCCTACTTCAACCCTGCCTTTCTCTCTCCTCCTTCTCCAGCCACCAATCCCCTTCCCCTGCCACTCCCCCTCCACCCCCAGCCACCTGGCGCGCATCTCCCCTTCCCCTGCCGCTCCCCAAAATCGATGCAAACCTACCCCATAACCCTAACTCCGGTGACGATGAGAGTTTCGAGGGTGGGGTTGTTAGGGTTTCGAGGGGGTCGCCGGAGATTGAAAAGGTTTAGGGTTAGGCTGGCCGAAAAGGGTAGGGGAAGGGGAGGGGGAGTCGATTTCGGTGGGGGAATGGGGAGGGGGGCCGATTCCGGTGGGGCGAATGGGGAGGGGGTTGGTTTCCGGTTCGGGGTGGGGGTCGGGGCAGCAAGAAGGGGAAAAAGGAGGGGGTGGCTGCGTAGGTGGGGGAAGGGGAAAGGGATTGGGGTGGGATCGCCGACGTTGGCCCAAGCTTTGGCCGCTGGCCGTCGGCAGGGGGGAGGGGGGAGGGTGGCTGACGGGAGGGGGGCAATTGAGGGTGGCTTGGTTTTTTATTTTTTTTGAACATTTTATTTTTTTTTTTAAGGATTCCGTTAAGTGATAGCAAATTTTAACAAAGGTGTTTTTAGGTGGTAGTAAAATAAAATAAAATAAAATAAATTTAAGGGGTAGCAAAAGTCAAATGCATGTCTTTTGGTGGTAGCAAAATCAAATTAATAATAACAACAACAACAACACCAACAACAACAACAACAACAACAACAACAACAACAACAACAACAACAATAATAATATTTAATGATAATAATGCAATAATAATAATAATAATACTATTAATAATAATAATAATAATAATAATGATAATAATAATAATAATAATACTAAAACTAATAATAATAGTAGTAGTATAATAATAATAAGAACAATAACAACAACAACAACAACAATAATAATAATAATAATAATAATAATAATAATAATAATAATAATAATAAAAACAATAACAACAACAACAATGAAATCTGCTCTGCTCTGCCCAGAAGCTCAAAAGAACAGGGCCTTAGTAGCTCTATATCGAGTTATCACATGTAATTTTATACCAAGTCTAATGGGTTTTTAAACTTAACCTGTTTTGGATGATAACGTGAAATAAAATAATTGGGTGAGATCGACTCATCATGTGTTTAGTATATCTGTATGATAGGATTAAAAATTTGAGACTCATTGCCCAAAATCCGCTAACCTCTATATACGAAACATTGATTAAAATTTGAGACCTTTCATCCAATATACTCCTCTGTGTATTAACAAGTGTTACACTTTGACCAAACACGTATGTCTAGACACGACTTTGAGCATAATTTATCTAATTACTACTATAAGTTAGTAAAATTATAGGAAATTGATATTATGAAAGTATTAATTATAACGAATTTAATAATGTATTATTCAATACGAAGTAACTTTTGTTTTTATATATTAGTAAATTAATCAAGTTAAAACCATTATGTGAATAGTAAAAAAAAATTAAAGTGTTAATTAAAACACGAAGAAGTACTAGATTCATTGTCTACGATATCTAAGACTTGTAGCTTGTTATCACACCATCATAGCAGTATTGTGACATGTCAAACATAATACCTGTATTTTCTGATATGGCCATGTTTGGTAAATGGCTTTTTAGTGGCTTCTTGGTTAGCTTTTGCCTTTGGGCTTTTTTATATGGTCAAACAACTAAAAAAAGTGTTTGATAATTGGATTTTCATTCAGCGAAAAAGCTGGCTTTTAAGCCAAAATGAAAAAACTGCTATGAGTAGCTTTTTTTGTTGGCTTTTGGCTTGTTAGCCCACAAATTATCTAATAAACAGCCAACAGCCACCAACTAAATTTACCAAAGTTTTTTTGTTGGCTTTTATCTTGTTAGCCCACAAATTATCTAATAAATAGCCAACAACCACCAACTAAATTTACCAAAGACTTTTATAAACAGCTAGCTTAAACAGCCAATTTCAAAAATCATTATAAATAGCCAAACATTCCAACTGGTCAAACTAGCAAAGTAAACCAGTCAACCGCCAACAGCCAACAACCATTTGCCAAATAAGGCCATTAAATTTTACAAAGAAAAGTCATTTTTAGATGGTACCTGATTATCTTAGATTATAGTCTTATTCTTCATTAGCAGTTGTACTTGTGATTTATGTTGCTTTAGGAGTATACTTGTCTCTTGGTCGCCACCTCCCCTGGTGTTATTATTTTTTTTTTAATGATTCCGTTCGGGATGGTCAAGGGCTGTAGCCATTTTTATAAGAGATCATTTAGGAAATAATGTTTGTAGTTGTTCTTTAAATATTGGTATTAGTACTCCTCTTATTGCAGAAGCTACGGCCCTTCGTAATGGTCTTCTTTTGGCACAGGTCCATAATATATCAAAGTATTCATTGAAGAGAATAATTTACTTATTATTAATATTTTGTAGGGAAAGGCTCGGTGCCCGTGTAAAATTCAGCTTCTGATGTAAGACGTTAAGGAGCTTCTTTGAAATTTCACCTATGGTGATTCGCGCCACATTTATAGAGAGGGTAATAGAGGAGCAGACTATATTACTTCTCTGGGCCATTTATGCAAGCTCACTAAGATATCGATCCGTTCATAGATACCAAATTTTCTTTCTTTATTTATTCTGATAAGTTAGGGTATAGTCTTGAGAGAAGACTATCCTAACTTCTTGTTTACCTTTTCTTATAAGAAAAATGTTGCTTCAAGTACACACACACACACACACACACACACACACACATATATAAGATCATTTGAGACTACACCCCTTATGTGAGAACACTACTATATGTGAGGACTCATTATAACCGTTAGATCAATTACATCCAACGGTCACAATACAATCCCAGTTTAAACAAAACCATATTATTTCAAAATAATTTCTGTGTTTTTTCTCTCTCTTCCTTCCTCTTTCACGCGCAATTTCTCTCTCCTCGTTCAATTTCATCCGGTACTCTCTCTCTCTGAATTTTCATCACAACTTCTTCAATCTTCATGAATTGTTCGTCAATGTAAGTTTATTGTTTTTTTTTTTTGCTGTTTTTCAATTAATTTTAGGTTACATTCATTGTTTATCTTCGTTTTGATTTTCGTTTTATTTGTGCTGATTTCATCTCACTAATTTTAGGTTACTTTGTGTCGATTATGTTTTAATTTGTTTTTTTTTTGTTGATTTTAGTTTTATTTTCGTTTTTTTTAGTAATTATCAAGTTGATTTTAGTTTTATTTTGCCTGAATTTAGGTTTTAACATGTATTCTTGTTTTGGTTGTGTATTTGAGAAATTATGTTGTGGTTTTGTTGCGATTTTTGCTCGATTTTGTTGCGATTATGTTGCGGTTTTGGTTTGGTTGTGAGTACTGTTAAAGCCAGTATAAAGCTTCCTTTGATATTTGGCTTCAATTGTTCAAATTTTGGTATTGAATAAGGTTTTTGTGATTTTGTTGAAACCCTAGAAATCGCAAATTCTTCATTAAATGGATTCAACCGAAGCTATTGTTACATATGAACGAATGATGTAAGTATCAATTTATTGATTTTAGGCATTTTAGTTTGTTTTTATATGATTTTTAGTAGTTTGTATCATATGATGATAGTACGAAGCAATTTTATGAGATTCTGATTTAATTTTGTTTATTTTCTGGTTTCTTAATGTTTTATACTCGTTCAATTAGTTTGAATGTAAATTGATCCTTGTAATCGATTTAATGAGCGTGCCGATTTTAGTTTAGTAACAATTTTGATAGTGAAATCTATGGTTTCGAAAATATTGAAGATAGAATTGACTAAAGTATGTTTTGACTGATAAT